TACATTAATTCACTAATTTTCTGTAAAATGGATTGATTTATTATTACATATAAGAAACAACTTCACCTGACTGAACCACATTATTAATAAAAGGGACTCAGAACCAGGACCTTCAGCTCTAGACCACTGAAATAGATAATTATTTTCACCCAACACAGATTGAATTCCACTGGTCATAGCTCATTGATCTAGAGCTCAATTATTCATGCACGAGACCAAAAGTCTTAGGTTCGAGTCACGCATATGAAATTATGTATTCACATTACTGAGGCTTTCCATATCAGAACGAAACAATCGTCCAGTATTTCCAGGTTTTGTTTAACTTAGATTAACTTATACATTCTATGATTAAAATTACAACAATCTCTACTGACGTTTAGTTTAAATATTTCAATTCATCAATAGATCAGGCTTTGACGAAGATAAAAATTTATTGAACATATATTTTCATTATAAAACGTTCATACCCTTTTTTTAGTCCATTTTCATGTTTTATTACAAAACAAAAATAAAAATACTACACGAACATATATATATTTATAAACTAATTTCTTTTCTTTTTTTTCTCTTCATTTACACAAAATTATTGTTTTGTTTTTGTTTTTGTTTTTTTGTTTTTTTTTATATTTTTGTTTTGTAAAAACAAATACTACTTATATTCTAACTTTATTCAAGTAGTAAATTTAATTTAAATGTTACCTGATTTGAAGTAGAAACTTGAACTGGATTAGTTTTCTCATCAGACAAACAAACAAACAAAAAAAGAAGAAAAAAAAGAAGAAAAAATAATCACAACAAATTCGTGATGTATGATTCATTTGTAAAAAAAATTTTTTTGGTAATCTAATTTTATTTTATTTTTTTTTAAAAAAAATTCTCGTGAAAACAAACATTCATGTCAAGAAAAATATTCAATTAATTTTAAGTCATATGGCGTAGCGTCATCAATATATATAAATATACTAAGATCAATTCTGGGAATTACTGGAGATTTAGATGCTGGTTGGAGGTAGTCAACAGGAAACCCTGGACCCAAGTTTCGTGCTACTTGGCACTCGTCAGCAAGGTGTACCTGGAGATTTCATTAGGTTATCACTTGATACTGATTATTATTCTATAGAATAAAGTGATTTGATCATGAGATGGAGATCCTAGATAATCATTTATGTAGTGAGATAAATGAAACATTGATCATTGTTCTGAACGTTATGAATAAATTGATCAGGTATTGAATGATTAAGTTTGTAATGGTGGAGAAAATTTATAGTTCAGATAAATGATTTTGATGAAGTTTTATTCTATGAATCGGATGATTTGATTGTGAAGTTTTCATCGTTCCTCTAAACGACACCATATCAGTACAAACGTCTAGCACGACTAAATCATTCAGATCAGAGTTTTAAAATGTCATCAAAATGATCAAGTTTAAAGATTTGATCACTGTTAAAGAAACAAATTTCAGATTGAATTCAATCAATTCATCAACTATTTTATGAAGATTATCTGATAATTTTCGTCTTCAAATTACATCATCAAAATTTATCAAAGAGGCTAATTGCTTTGAATTTCTTAAAGGAAGAGGACTCCTTGCACATAATTTATGAAGTTTTCATTTTCTCAAATTGTTATTTTATACATAGAAGTTATAGAAACCCTAACAACTTACTTACTTACTTACTTAATTACTTACTTACTTATTTACTTACTTACGCCTGTTGCTCCTCGTGAAGGAACATAGGCCGCTCACCAGCATTCTCCATCCAACCCTGTCCTGGGCAATCCGTTTCAGCTTCTTCCAGGTGTCCTTCTTTCCAGTCCATCGGTACTTGTTCCTCCTCTCAAATCTTTTTAAATAGAAGGTAGAGCATATTTGTTGTTACTTCGATGTCTGACTTCAGTGCTTCAGCTGGTATGTTGTCGGGTCCTGCTGCTTTCCTGTTCTTCATTTGTCTGGGTGGATTGACATCTATAGGAAGATCTGTGTGTGCTACACTTCATTTCTTCACTGATAACTGAAATGATTTAAAAGCATCAAAATAGATATTCAAAAGCTGTTCTTTAATTATAAAAAAGAGCATGCAAGAAAACTATCAGACGCTGCTATTCTTTTTCACAGTTCCATTTAGTAGTCTTTCACAATTGGAATATTCCATTTTCTTCTACCATACGACTTGCTCACATTTTTTAAGGACTTAATTAAGTGGTGCAGTACGGTGAAACTAATTAACCCCAATCTTTTTTATTTGGTATACACCTCAAACTTAATGTTACTAACATCGTCTACACAAATATCCGGTTGAAAATAATTTGGAAAACAGCGTCATGTAAATGTTCCTCTTTTCAATTATTCATTACTATCTACTCTTTCATTATTTACTAAGAAGTACTTCACATAATATCTAAACAAAATATTAAGAGCAGCATATATGAATCCATTTGAAAGAAGAAAAAAAAGAGTAATCAAAGTAGATGGTTGCCGCTGAATAAACAGACTAACAATAAACTAATGTCTAGTTTCTAAGAGAATTATATAAAAACAATCAAGAGTGCTTCAGAAGATACTCAATATCATACAGAATTCCTATGATGGATTAAACTGCAAAATCGTGTATGGAGGACAGCCGGAAAACTCGTTCGAGTTAAAGACCGGTGTCAGACAAGGTTGCTTGCCCTCACCCTTTCTCTTTCTCCTGATGATCCACTGGATCATGAAGACGTCAACATCTGAGGGGAAACACGGGATACAGTCGACATCTAGGATGCAGCCGGACGACTTAGACTTCTTAGATGATCTGGCTCTTCTATCGCACACGCAGCAATAATGCAGGCGAAGACGACCAGTGTAGCAGCAACCTCAGCAGCAGTAGGTCTCAACATACACAAAGGGAAAAGCAAGATTCTCCGATACAACACAACCAATCCAATCACAACTGACGAAGAAAATTTGGAATGTGTAAAAACCTTTATATATTTGGGCAGCATCATTGATGAACACGGTGGATCTGATGCAGATGTGTATTTAGTTGCATCAGAATGATTAATATTACGTAACGAAATATTGCGTATATAACAGTATTTGATTTTCATTTAAAGTGTTTTCATTATTGACTGTATTCTGTACATTATCATTAGACTTGAATTGTTTCGGTAGTAATAATAATGCCTTGGTACGGCCGAGAGTGAGAAGACTCAACTCTCCCTCTCGAAATGCTCTCACATGAACGCGTGCATACAATCACTGTCAGGGAAGTCCTACCGACTGCCTTCTCGCGGCGTTAATATCCTTTACGAAATTGAGAGGACGAAAAACGAATATTCAGCGCTTTAACCGGGTTGGTGGACATGGAGAGTCTACATAGGGGAGTTGGAAAACTCTGATTCCAAATCAATTGTGCACATGCGCTCCAGTATCCTGGGGGAACAAATGGGGTATAAACTAATTATTGATCACCGTCTATCATGGGACTGCATCTCCTTACGTTGCTCCACTGCCTTGTGGATTAGACCTTTTGGTCAAACGCTTCAAATGTGGCCTTCTAAGAAAACCACCTGTTTCGGTTTGGGCACACGGGTAGTATCCCAGCCCCCACACAAATCGAATGATTTATGTAGCGCATATCTATTTAGTGCCTCCCTATGTGTTTAAATAAATAAATAAAAATGTTGAAAACAATTTGTATTCTACTATTAGACTTTATACAATAAATGCCTCATCTCGATAGTGTAATAAAAAGACGAAGATTGTCAGAACCATGTGATATATTAGCGGAATACATTTCGAAAGATGAGATTACACATATGCTTGTTATTAAAAAATTTATATATAAAAATAAAAGGTCAACCACACTAGAAATAGAGGGTTAGAGAAGTCAAGGATAATAAAGAAGGTAAAGTCTTAACAATTTGAAGCCTTATCACTCTGGATAATAAGCTAATATTACCAGAGTAAGTTTCAGGTAAGAATAAACTGTTTTTGAATGCACAAAAGGTTTTGAATTTTCGTTTGGCTATGGCTTCAATAAACCATAGTATACACCCTTTTACACCTTTTTACAACATCGCAAAAGCCGAGTTGAGATCAGTCTTATGGCCTGCTTTGATTATGTGTTTAGCAATAGAGAATGATGGATTTTTTTCCTCTACTCTGATTGTATTTGTTTCTGCAACCATTTAGGCATGTGTTCACACACCCTAATTTTTAGGTCACAATTACTCCTCCCTATGTATACGTGACCACACAGGTACTTAGTAGCTATAGCTCACACTATTCGAATCCATTGATATCTTCAATTTCGTGGTTTACAAAAGTCATATTCATTCTGGAAATTAAAACATGAGTTTGATAAAGCAAGAAACATAACCAATGAAGTTGAAAAAGTCATAATTAATTCAAGATTCAAATAGTTTTCGTTCAATCTTATATAAAGGTAGTTAAATGAACAAACTAGTTTGCAACAGTGATTTGATTGATATTCATCTGCGAAATGAACTACTTTTAATAGAGATGGTGGAGAAGAGATTCACAGAACAAGCTGTAAAACACATATGAATAAATTCGAACACTCCACTTCTATCTGAAGTTTGTGCTGATGATGTCGTTCAGAAGAACGATGAAAGCTCCACGACCAAACCATCCAGCTCAGAGAACAAAACTCCACCAAGAACTACTTTTTATTTATTCAGTAATATACATTTTAATGAATTCTTAACTATTTATAAAAAATAGATTTCTTTTTTAAAAAAAATCCTAATTTTATTTTTGCTTATTATTTACCTGTTTATATTAACTTTTTGTTCATGCTATAAAACACAACTACCATTATTCTAATCAAATCTATGGTTAATATATGAATGTTCCAATATCATTCAAATTATGATCAATCATTATCATGACAACAATGTTATTGATTATTAATCAAATCATATTGGATGGATATTGATTTATATAAATTGATTATTTAAATTACTGATAATAAAAATGGATCGACAATCATGGATAGATTTTTTTGTAAGTTAATTTGTTTTTTCCTTTCTAAAAGTTTATTTAACTAAATTTATTTTGTATTATTCATGACATTATTATCAGAAGGGGTTTTGTGGAGATTGTAGTAATTTCAATAGTTGAGATCATGAGTCAATAGAATATAGACCACCATGCAAAACCTGGAAGCACTGGACGGCCGTTTCGTCCTATTGTGGGACTCCTCATCAGTTCACATCCACGACCTCGCCCCCTGCGAGAATCGAACCCAGGACCTATCAGTCTCGCGCCAAGCGCTTAACCGACTAGACCACTGAGCTAGGCAGCATCCAACGGTGTTAATGTCTAACTTCAACTAATCCACGAAATTGAGCGACACATCCACCATTGTCATCAGTGAGTTACAAGTATTTAATAAAACAAAACAAAGCATTCATTTATTATGAATAAACAAATGAATGAAATGATCATTTAATAGTTCCAGGTTTTCCATAGTAATTAAAATATTATAATCTTCACAACTCCCCTTTATAATTAACATGAGCATTTTTTCAATAATAAATAATACAGATTTGAGTGAAATTATTAATATTTTGTTTTTAGGGTGGATAATTTTGTCAGAAGGGGTTTTGTGGAGATCTTAGAAATTTCACTAGTTGAAATCATGAGTCAATTGAAGCTAGACCATCATGGAAAACCTGGAAGCACTGGACGGCTGTTTCGTCCTAGTACGGGACTCCTCGTCGGTGCGCTGGCTTCAAGAGGTATTTTCTGGATTTCCAGTGAGAAGCAGTGACCAGTGTAGTTCAGCTGGGTCTCTTGCGAGATAGTAACTCACTGAACACAATGGTGGACGATGGCTCAACCAGTTGAATTTGGACATTTAAACCGTTGGTTGCTGGCTTAGTGGCCTAGGAGTTAAGCCCACACGCGCGAGACTGATAGATCCTGGATTCGAACCACGCGAAGAGGGATCGTGGGTGCTCACTGGTGGCCGTCCAGTGCTTCTAGGCTTTCCCTGATAGTTTAGCTTCAATTGATTCATGATTTCAACCAGTAAAGTAATTTTGTTTTGATTAAGTTTATTTATTTCTTTTTAAAATTATTTCAATAATTTATAATACAGTTTGTTTGGTTTGTTTTTTCGTTTTTTTTTATTATATTGAGTAATTAGAAAATAACAAATGAAAAATATAGTAAATAAATGAAACTTAAAGCTGAAATCAAGTTGGTTGAACTCATGATGTCAGTGTAGAGTCAGGCTACTTGAATATTCTTGTTTATAAGGTCTAGATTACAGCGTATATGATTGTTTTGTTAGGATACGTTAGATGATGTGCTATTCTACTTCAAGCATCATTAACTATGAATTATATAATAGTAGTGTAATTAGTATAAAGTTTGGGTAGAGCATCTATAAACAGCTCTTTGTCTTTATGTATATGTTTTCCATTCAACCTAATTGATAATTTCAAACACTAAATCTAAGTAAGATGATCAGTGATAATAATAATTAAAGGGGGAGTTAAGTTAGCAAAGATGCAACCAGAAAGAATTTTTTCAGTCAAAGAAGGTACGTCTTTTTTTATGAAGAAAGTAAAAGAAAGTTGTAGCAGGATCACCGCTGACTTCTATCTTGAGCCATTTCTGATAACGACCCTAGCCATCATGTTACACCATCTCTAGGACTCTAACCGAAGATTTGTCAAGGACCAGCACAGGCCAATCGTGTACAACTTTCTTCCATACTACAAAACCATGTTATGCGCCGACTACCTCTCTCTTTCTTTAACCGGTCTCTGCGTCGGCAAATAATGCACCACGTGGAATTCTGTGGGACGACATTCGCAGAACATATCCAAGTCACCGAAGTCTATGTTTCAAGATAGTGACACCAATTGAATTATTGTCTCTGTGCTCGAACACACGATGCCGAACCTCCTCATTACTAGCATGATGTTGCCACTGAATGTCAGCAATCCTTCGGAGACAAGGATGATCAAACATGGAAAGTCGTTTAACATCCTCAACTCTGAGAGATCAGGTCTGATAAGCATAGAGCAAAAATGCTCTCACTGACTCATTCTAAATCCGACTTTTTACAGATAGACTAGCATCACAACTGCGTCAAAGATGGCCTAGATAGACATAAACCGCTCTGGCTTTCACTATATGTGAATTGATTTCATCACTCACGTCATGAGCAGCACTTATGAAGCTACCCAGATACACGAATTTCTCGATTATTTCTATCCGCTAACTACTCACAGTGAGTGTATGTTTAGGATCCTGCTAGTCTTGTAAAAATACTTTGTACTTCAAAAGTGCAAAGTACATGTAAATGATCTTGTGAAGATTCATTTCTAATAGTATTTCAACTATGCATTACATTCACATTCTCTATACATAACGCTTTGAAATTTTTCCTATAATCTTAGCTCACAATACATTGATGTCATATCTTCTGATTAATTCGTTTATTAATTTTGAATACATTGAAAAATTTGTGGAGTTATGAAACAACTGACTATTATTTTTTATCTCCGATAATATATTGCTTATAACTGATAAACATATTTCAATGAAATTGTTGAATCTCTTATCAATATATATGAATAGAAATTGTTTTTAGTTTTTGTTATAACTTGTGACCGTCGATTAGAGGGCAGTGAATTATCTATCGGACCAAGGACGCGTAAACACGTGCGAGCTGCCTAGAATCGTGGTTGGCCTTGCTTTCCGCGTAGCCCAATCAGTTATGTCCAGAGCATAAGTCTCAGTCTCTGCAATATGAATCATTATATTTCAAATATATTGAGTTTATATACCAATCAAACAGACCACAACGTACCATAAAGTAGAAAATAACATTTGTACAATATTTGGCTAACAGGGAAATGACATGTGAAATAAAAATAAACCACTAGGAAAATGATGCCATTTCAAGTCCAAGGATAGCATTAGACTTAACAAGATAATTTTTGGGATATTTTTCTGAATATCCCAAACAGTTTTGTTGTTATAAACACATATTTACGTCATTGATCATATGAAGAACAAAAACATATGAGCTTTTATTTAGCTTATCTTATACAACCGTATAAACATATATAACCATAAATATCATTTTTTATGATCGAGCGATATTATCATCTTATTGTTAAAATCTTAAGAGTTTAGATCAGCATTTCACAAATCAACTTGTAACTCTATGCTTAAAGCTTAAACCAACTGGACTCATTGGGAAATTTTTACAGAAAAATGTTAGTTTATTAAAGTTAGCATCATTTATTTTGGCATAATTCTAAAAATAGACCCATTTTAGTAATCATATTAAGTATAACAAACTATGATAGTTCTACTAACTACTTAATTGTCGCATGCAAAATTCTTAATTAAACTTATCAGAATTAAAAAACTAACCAAATAAGTGAGTAGATAGCAGTAGAGATCACTGTGAAACAATCACACAGTTAATTTTATAACCATGTTAAAGTCTTTGTAATTGTTAAAGATATTTCGTACTAGTATTTTAACTAAGCTAATGGGTGACACTTCTCCAGATTGTAATACTATTGTGATGGACCAAAATATATATTAACTCAATGATAGCAATAAACTTATTACGTTCAAATGTTAATGTGATAATATGTCAATTATAAGTTGTAAGCATAAATAACAATTAAGGGATGTTACTTAAATCGGCAGGCTTGTACGTGTTCAGGTTGCGTTTGGCACCACAATCCACAATGATAGATAATTAATAATTCCGATGAGGTTGTTATTAGTTCGAGGAATATAGTCAGACGTACAATATAATGTAAATGTGGTTGCAGTCTATAAATGTAGACAATACATATTTCAGAGTTCAATTATTATAACCACAGGCAATGGAGAATGAGAAACGTGTGTATAGTAGTGTATTTACGAGAACTTAACAGCGTGTGTCATGTTATGAGTGATACACAAAGGAAGAAAGTGTGTTCAAGGTTATACACTTAAACAACACGTTCAACCATTTTATGATAAATATACAAACTGTGAAAATTAACAAATAATTCCTTATTTTTTTTCAAAAGTAATTACCTTCTGAATAGGTAGTTGTGGTAAAACATCAGAAATTCTGTTGAGTGTTGTAAATAGTACATGGACTCTGTTTGTATTCAAGTGGATACACAATAAATAAAGGTAGTGTCAAAATGAAACTAGTCATGAAAATGTCAGTTACAGTTTACATAATTTAGTTAAAACAACTTTGACAGTAACAATTTGAGGATTCTATTTTTAAGTCAGCTAAGTTGTAAAAGTAACTTGATAGGATTTTCAACTCATGAAAAACTATTTGTAAACTTTCTGTACTATCTTCAAATTTCAAAGTGATTTAGAAGTTTTTCTGGAATTAAAGACTATGTAATAATGAAATAACTGAAATGTCCACGTTTGTAAGTTTAACAAAGGATTTATGAATACACTAGATTACAATTATAAGCAACGAGTTAAGCTTAACCACCACTGAACATGTTGTAGCACTGGATGTCTGTTTTGTCCTATTATGGGACTCCTCCCACTCACTGGATCCGAACCCATTGGTAATGTGTAACTTCAACACCGTTGGATGCTGGCTCAGTGCTTCCAAGGTTATGCGTTCAAGCACGAAAGTGGAGGTCCTGGGTTCGAGTCCCACACGCGGGTTCGCGTATGCGCACCGCTGAGGCGTTCCATACTAAAACGAAACAGCTATCCAGTGCTTTCAGGTTTTCCATGATGGTCTAGCTTCAATTGACTCATGATTTCAACTATTGAGATTTAAATTAAAACCTGTAGAAAAGTTTGAGAGAATGAAAAAAATCTCTTACAAATGTTTTGTTTGTTTTAGTTATTCAATAAGGTTTATTACGTAATCATCACATAGAAAACTACGATGAACTTAAAACAAGATTTCATTTTGTAAACTATAATGAACATAGAAAGAATTTATTTTAAAAAAATGTATAAATGCTTATTGCTTCACATCATAAACATGTATAATGATTGACCATAGATTGTTTATCTAATAGGTTCCTATTGAGATGTGTTAAGTTTACAAGTGATTGAATCGGACTTACTAGTTTGTTTACATGTGATTGAAAAATGTACTTCAATAATATTAGCTTAATACATTTAGAAAGATAAAATATTTATATGAATGAAACATTAGTGTAGTATGTTCTGAGAATAAATATTTTTCATTATAATTTGTTGAATGCTATAAGTCTAGACAAGGAAACTTGTTCAACTGTTCATCAGCATGATAAATAAGCAATTGTGTATATAGTTGTTAATTGAAAGAATGTAATTCATTTCATTGACAGATTATAAATGTTGTCTAAATAAAATGTTATTTATCTACACCATTATATCTATAAAACGTTTTAATCTACATAAACGAATAGATGGTTCAAACATGATTCAGACATGAGTTTCGAACATTGTACAATCGAAAGGTTACTTACAAATTAGACTAAAGTACAAATAGGAAATTTAATTACTGAAGTATAGTGAAATGTATAGAACAATAATTTCGCATACTATCATTTGAATGTCCAGTGCTTCCAGGTTTTCCATGGTGGTCTAGCTTCGATCGACTCATGATTTCAACCTGTGAAAATTGCTAAAACTCTCCACAAAACCCATTCTGATGTCCTATACATTGAATAATTAATATCTATAGGATAAACAAAAGGATTTAATGACTATTAAAAGTGAATCTTTTTAATTGTTTGTTTACTTAGGTGATTATGAGTTAAGCAATTTATCTAATGATTCTTTGAACTGATTGTCGTACAAACATTTGATAGTATTAAACTTCAAATAATGAAATAATGAGTGAGTGAACACATAACAAAATGGCTTGAGAAACAGATGGATTCCAATGGTCTAAAGAAAGATCACAGGATAGACAAACATCATCCTCTATTGCGAATACATTTGATTGAGACTGGTCATAAGATTGACATCAAGTCAACATTTGTAGTATTATATAAAAGCCTTCATGAACGTATACTAATGTTTATTGGAGCCTTAGCTATACGGAAATTGAGACCCCCCTCCTTATACTCAACCTACCCTGGTAATACTGATTTATTATCCAGGGTGGTAATCAGATTATTTTGTGTGTTTCTTGAACCTGTCTAGTTGACCTTTTAATTTACATATAAAAGTCTTAGCATGTATATGTGTGATCAGATTGTTCGAAATGTATTGCGCGAATATATCACATAATTCTGATAAACTTCGTCTTCTCATTACATTATCGACATTTATCAAAGGGACTAACTGTTTTAAATAAATACGTTGTTATCACTGATTGATAGTGGCTAGCAATGGAATACAGGATGCGCGTTTCGGCCTATTTGGGACTCATCAGCTGGATGTACCTGCATCTCACAGCTGATGTTCACCGTGGGACTCGAACCCAGCACCATTCGATTTAAACACTATCGAGTTATCCACTCAGCTACTAAGTCCAAATATTTTGTTGGTTTAAATTATATGATATACATTAAACTTCCAGTTTTTTATTTATTTCCTAATTGCTTGTTTATTTGGTTTTGTTTTACTTTTTAGTCACATTTAAGAAGCCATTCAGTTTATTTAGTAAAGATTTTCGAACAGCTATTGAAAATGGTCAAACTAATCAGAATACTAGTTTGAACAAAACGTAAGTCATATACAAATAATAATAATAATAATAATAATAATAATAATAGTAGTAGGGGAGTTTTTGAACTTTGGTCATACAAATGACTAAGGAAGATGAAAGTATATAATATAACAAAATTTTAAGAGGATGTATCCATCTAAATAACTCCTTTAGATAATCATAAATCTTAGATGTCTTGGTCTGAAATCTGTTATCTAGTTAGATTTCAATCGTTACCCAATATTTATTTTCAATCAAGTTAAGAGTATTTGCTAAGTACATTCTGATAGTGGTTTATGAATAATATAAAATTCTACTAAGTTACAAGCATACTATTCTTTACTGAATCTTGTAAATGAAATTTGATAGAGCAATACCAATTTTATTAATACAAAGAAAGGAAATTAATCCATCAGTTATTCATTGCGTATAGATTTCTGTTACTTTGTAGAAATATCTACATACAAAAATAACAATTCATTTACTTACTTATACTACTTAATATCTTAAAAGTAGTAGACAGAATGAATTTACTTGGAAAAATGCCACTTAGCTGGTTACCCATATATATAATTACATACTCTGCTTTAAAAGTATCTTTAAATGTAAAAACGATGTATTGACAATCACTATAGAATGAAAAAATATCATTACGTATTCTACTAGTACGACCATCTTCCAACAAACTCTTTAAATATTGAAAGATATAAGGAGTGAATATCTCTTGAATAGTTTCATCTCGAAAAACCAAATATGTTACTTATTTAGAACTGAAATCCCTACTGAGTAAACTATTTACGCTTGAATTAAACTGAAATGAAGTATTGATTCGATTACATGACACTTGAATTATAAGAAGAATATTGAATATTGAATTCGATGCCAATAATATCTGATTTGAGTTATATGATTCACTTTAGAAGAAAAAAAGAAATTTTCTATGATGATTTATTCACAATTTCAAAAAAGAATGGTACAATAATTAAATAATCAAATTAGTGAAACAATGATTTCAATGAGAATTTTTAATAGTTGAATTCAAGAGTCACTTGAATCTAGACCACCATGGAAAACCTGGAAACACTGGATGGCTCTTTCGTCCTAGTATGGGATTCCTCATCAGTGAGCACCCACGATCCCACCTCCCGAGATTCGAACCCAGGACCTATCGGTCAAGCGCGCGAACTCTTAACCTCTAGACCACAGACCAGGCATCCAATAAAGGAGGAATGATAATTATCGAGTTTTTCTAATGCTTATCACCTTTAAATAATGATGATCTTAGTTAGACTTGTTATTATGACAATGTACACACTTTAAGCGATAAGCAGATGAATCAGTCGATATCAGCGTGATATTTTCAAAACTAAATTCGTTTTATGAATCGCTTATCTAAGGAGAGTGAAATTTATTTCTAGAAAAGGCGATAGTAAAAGATTTTTCAGTTTAAATTAATAAATCTTAGACGTTATTAAGCAGATAATACAACTAGTGTTGCAGCAGCCTCTGCATCAGTAGGCCTCAACATACACAAAGAAAAAGACATAATACTCAAATTCAACACGGAGAAGACCAACCCAATCACACTTGTTGGCGAAACTCTGGAAGAGGTGGAAACTTCCACTTACCTGATTAGCATCATCGATGAACAAGGGAGGATCTGATTCAGACGTAAAGGCGAGAATCGGCAAAGTAAGGACAGCATTCCTACAATTGAAGAATACATGTAACTCAAATCAACTGTCAAACAATATCAAAGTCACAATCTTCAATAAGAACGTGAAGACAGTTCTACTGTAGAAAGCGGAAACGTGGAGAGCTGCAATAATCAAAAGTGTACACGTACTTATAAGCAATTGTCTACGCAAGATACTCAATATCTGTTGTTGACCGGATACCATCAGCAACAGTCCGCTGTAGCACAGAACAAACCAACTTCCAGATGAAGGGGAACCTGGGAAAAGACGATGGAGTTGGTGGGTAGGACACATATTGAGGAAATCACCAAACTGTGTCACGGAGCATGCTTTAACTTGAAATCGTGAAGGGTAACGGAAAGAAGTAGGTCAAAGAACGCACTGAGTCGGGAATTGGAAGTAGACATGAAAAGGATAAATAGCAACTAGAAGCAATCGGAAAGAATTGTCCTGAACAGATTTGGGTGGAGAATGCTGGTGGGCAGCCTATTCTCCTCCACATGGGGTAACAGTAAGCAATCGATGAATAACTGCTTACTGTCTGACTCGATTTATTTCATCAACGATACTATTTCAAAATACCATACAAAACGATTTTATGTATTTACACATGAAACAAATTACAGTTGAAAGTAAAATTATCTCATAACAGCTGTTAATACCATTACATGAATAACTTAACAGGAGTTATGAAAAATCACTTTCAAATAGCATACTATTATTCTAATGGTCAACAGTCAAAATAAAAATTGTAAATGAATGATTCATTTTCATTTTTACTAATATTGACATTTAAAAGTTCATCCATTAAAACACAAACCTTCATTTTGAACATCACATCGTAAAGAATATTTTCTTAAATTTCATTTCAGTTAAAATAACAATAAATATCGGTCAAAACAAAATGTATGACTGTCTAATTTTAGGTCACGAACCGATGGATGTTAGACCACCACTGAAAATCTGGAAGATAGTCGTGAGATTTCGTGAATTGATTGCACAGTTGGATGCCGGCTCAGTGGTTCAATGTTAGGCGTTCGTGCTTGTGACCGGAGGTTTTGAGTTTGAATCCCGTATGTAGGATCGTGGATGCTCACTGCAGAGGAGTTTCATACTAGGATGAAACGACCATCCAGTGTTTCCATGTTTCTAATGGTGGTCTAACATCAATCGATCCGTGATCTCAGTCAAAGACTGTCTATTTATTTTTTCTTTCTATCAAAAATATAGTCTTCCAATAAACATTTGATCGAATTGTAATTGCACCATTATTTCTTTCATCCTATCTGACCCACATTTATTCTGATCATGGATCTTAAATTTTCACTTAATATATAAGTTGATCCAAGTTAACATTCTTTATGAGTCATAAAAACATTAACAATTCTCCATTTTCAGAACGGGCTTTGCGGTGATTGTAGTAATTTCAATAGTTGATATCATGAATCAATTAAAGCTGAACCACCATGGAAAACCTGGAAGCACTGGGCTCGAATCCCTCTAGGCGAGGTCGTGGATGCACACTGCACACCATTTCTTCATTACTTAAGAATTGTCGACCAAAACGTTGAATAATCTCCGTCATAACTATTCTGTAACCTTAAAGAAGAACGTATTAAGACAGATTGCTAAGAAGTGTTCTTTGTAATTGATTCATTGATTATTTCATAAGTATTATAGCCCAGTCGTTCACAGGATATAATCTATAACATTCTCATTCTAATAAACTATGATTATCATAAATTTTAAGAACGTGGTCATAGATGAAATCACGTTTAGCCCATTTATTTATATTTACATGAAATGTACTAAATAAGAAATCAATCAAAAATAACTTTGTCGAACTTTGTGGCAAACATTGGTTCGGTTAATTAAAATTGAGCATAGAAAATTTATATAATCATTATTGAACCAGGTCTGTTGTGAAATAGTAACTCACTGAAGACAATGTTGGATGTGTCGCTCAGTTTCGTGGATTAGTTGAAGTTACACATTAAGACCATTGGATGCCGGCCAGCTCAGTGGTCTAGAGGTTAAGCGTTCGCGCGAGGCGGAATCGTGGATGCACACTATTGAGGAGTCTCACAATAGGACGAAACGGCCGTCCAGTGCTTCCAGGTTTTGCATGGTGGTCTAGCTTCAATTGACTCATGATCTAGACCATCGAAATTACTATAAAATCCACAAAACCCCTTCCGACGTTAATATAACTTAAGTTACCTTACTTTACTATATACTTTTGTATTTTATAATATAATGGTAAAAACAATTATATACTGTCTAATTTTTCAGTGATATTGTGGATACTGAACAATTAGCATTGATGACAATGAAAGTAAGTTGGTAAAATTAGAGATTATGATTTATAACATTCTGATTAACTAAATACATTTAGCCTTATGATTAAGAATCATTGGCTAATTTTGTAGTATTTTTGTAATTATACTTAATAAAACATAGTCGTATACCGAATTATAACTGAAATATAATAATATATCATTAAGCGACATGAGAACTTGGAGAAGATTTCTAGTTCATTTGTATAATTTCAGAGTATTTTCATTCTCTACGCTAAATGGATTAATCGTGAGGCTTTTGTTTTCCTCCTAGATAACATTATCATAACAAATAACACTGATGAGTGATATAGAAATATACTTTTTTTATGGAAAGATTAATCATTCAGGTTATTGAAGAAGTTAAAGCAAAAATCAGATCAAAATATAACTTTCTGTTTTGTTTTCTTGAAACATACTGTGCAAGAAAATTAACAGAACAAATTAAACATTCATCTAGTATGTTGGTACACATTTTAGGTATATCGTTTTGTAACTAGTCAGAAGTCAATATGAAGGGGAATGTTTCCTTATCAAACATTTTTATTAATCTTGACTATCTATGAGACTGAAGCCGATTAAAATTTGTTTTCAATGTTTTAGTTATGAATGATCTATAACCTTTGAAAAAAAAGAAACTCCTATGCACTACAAAGCATACTCATTGCAATGGAAAGTTTTTAAATGAATAATTTCTTTTAAAAAATGACTACATACATTATAAGCTGAGATAGAGGGTGGCTAGCAGTGAAATCTAGGACGCGCGTTTCGTCCTATGTGCGACTCGTCAGCTAGATATACCTATGTCCTGGATTCCAATGACAATATAAAAACAATCCGCATACGAAGTAAATACGCCAATAAGAAACTGAACAATTGCAGTACTATACATTAATGAAAAGATTCAAACAATCAATACAAGAAATGAGCTCGATTAATACATGGTTTTGAGTTTTTTTTTAATACACTAACTTTGAAATATTCTATTGCATTAAATTAATATTTCCCAATGTGGGTAGAGTTTCACTCTGAGTAATTATTTACATTTTATTCATATCTCCAGTTGTGAAGTAAATGTGTTATGTTAACTATTATAGATTACCACTTTTATTTATCTAATTTTCTTAGGAATCAGAACGTATGTTTTCTGAAGCCAAATCAATGTTTGCATCAAATCAAACATTAACATCAGATAAAGTTTCACAATCACATAGTTCAAAATCAAATAATGAAATAAATATTTATTCAAGAAATGATGATGGAATTGTACAAGGTTATCAGTCACGATTTGCAAATTTACCATTATATCAAGGTTATGGAATAATTGCTCATCAGGTAGATATTACTTTAAATTAATCATTCAATTATAATTTATTGAAATGATATAATCTTAATATTTATTTTTTACTTATATTTTGATAGTAAAATAATTATGTTTATTTATAACAGAAGGGGTTTTGTGGAGATTGTAGTAATTTCAATAGTTGAGATCATGAGTCAGTTGAAGCTAGACCACCATACAAAACCTGGAAGCACTGGACGGCCGTTTCGTCCTATTGTGGGACTCCTAAACAGTGCACATCCACGACCCCACCTCGCGGGACTCGAACCCAGGATCTATCGGTCTCGCTCACGAACGCTTAACCTCTAGACCAATGAGCCGGCCGGCATCCAATGGTGTTAATGTGTAACTTCAACTAATCCACGAAATTGAGCGACACATTGACCATTGTCATCAGTGAGTTACTACCTCACAGCTGACCCGGTTGAACTCCATTAGTCACTGTTTCTCATTAGAACTCCGGGATATATCTCTTGAAGCAGTCACTAATGAGCATATGTTGATTAGTATCGGAATTTATTTACTTTGTCCACTTTCTACCAATTCCGTACTGGGTTTCCATTTACCTTTTTTATTTACATGCTGCTGTACCGTATTCACATTTAAGACTACGGAAATCAATGTATGCTAAAAGTTTAATATGAAAAGGATGTTGTGTTTATGGACAACAATACATGATTGATTAATCAACTTTGTGGTATTGATTGATTGATTGTTTTGTTTTGTTTTGATACGATACTCTTATAAAATGTGTACATATTCCGATGTATAATTCAATGATCAGAAACATATTCTTAATCATGTGTTGTACATCAATAAAGCTAATTGGTTATTATATACTATTAAAACGCCTTGTACTGGTTCTATTCGTTGCCTTTTTTTAAAAGAAGATAGCAAATGAAATATAAGTCTTGTAGACTACTAATATATAAAAATAATAATGAAAAAAAGACACAATTTATCTTATTATTATTCAATTAATATAATAAATAATGCTGAATATCCTTAGTGATCATATTAATAAATTAAAAAAAATAATCAATGATATGTCATTTGTAAGTAGTATATATATATATATATATATATATAACACATGTTTTACATTGAAATTGTTTTATAATCATTTAGATGATTAACAAAATTGTTTTCTTTAGAAACTTGGATTAAAAATTTGAGCTTTGTTCTACGAGTTAGATGATTTAGTCGTGGAGTTTTCATTACTCTTCTGAATGATACCATCAGCACAAACTTCAAGTAGAAGTGATCAAACCATCTAACTCAGAGAACAAAACCCTATTAAAAATCATTCACCTGAATTACAAATCTTCTGTATTATTTTGAGTGATTATTTCTATGGAGTTTTGTTCTGTGAATTGAATGATTTAGTCGTGAAGCTTTCATCGTTCTTCTGAATGACATCATCAGCATAAACTTCAAGTAGAAGTGATCAAACCATCCAGCTCAGAGAGATTATTTTAATAATATTCCTTAGAATGTTTTTTTTCATCCTGTTCATCAATGAATATTCACAAACGCATATAGAATCAAACATATTGGTTTATGATTAAGGAAAAATATTGAATTCAATAATAAGTTTTCACACTGAACTTATGATTCGATTTTATAGCTGCTTCTAATTACATTAAACCAATCGTACATGACAACTTGAACGCAGTAGAAAAAAGAAGTCTGAAGTGTAAAACTAAAGATTGGTGAGAAGGATTTATTTGACTCCGGAAACAAATAAAAAAAATCGTTTATGAATGAGTCCTTTTGTAAATGAATTATTTACAGTTAGATTAGCAGTGAGATTTGTATACATGGCATTGAATTGTATTTGACAATAATGATTCAATAACTTACCTGCTACACGCGATCTTTTTTATTTTTTTGTTGAATGTTACCTCGTTCTTTACTTAAACATAGAATACTTCCACTGTGAAAACTTACACTCACATGCTTATTCTACAGTAACTAAGTGATATACTTATTATTTATATTCATTTTGCTAGAAAGCGAAGTAAACTATTATTAACGACTTAGATTTAAATTTTCATATTTAATATTTACGATCATTCATTTAGATTGCATTGTCGAATAAAGCAAATACAGCTAAGAAATCTACACCTGAAACGCAAAATGTCAATAATGATGATGGGAATGATCAGCAGACTTCAATAAATCTTGTCAGTGATCCAATCGATATAGGACAAATTTCAGATCAAAGTGGAACTGATATAAATTTGGTTGCAAATGCATTTGCTCATTTATTAGATGAATCGATATTGAAATTTTTGTGTGAAGCAACAAATCAACAACTTGTCAGATCAGGATCGTTAAATTTATTTGATCTACCAGCATATATAAGTGGTGAGCACATCTTTCTTAAATTGATTTTATGATTGAAAATCAAGAATGAATACTGGACAATGAGAGTTTTTTGGTTTATTTTAGTGCACTAATTACTATCGAAACTAAGTTGACTGATTGTACTGATATGGGCTGATAAACATAACACTTCTGTTCGATCTAATAATTACGAACAAAAACTAGACAGACTATCATAATATGTTGGTCTATTGTTTTCTTTTAAACAGAGTTGTATTAACATATCATGATCTATCAGATAGGTTGGATACAGTACATCAGGTCAATACCTTTCAATTTTTCAAAGTGATTAATAAACAGCCAAATTGCAGTCTTCTGAAGTTTAGTTAAGCTGTTGCTATTAGGCGTGAAAAACCTGATTTATGTGTTCAAAAGGAGACGGTTATTGATATTTCCTTACCTCCTTTATTTCATCTTAAAACATTTAGAAAAAAACTTCTTCTTGCATTTATTACATAATTGAGTTGTTTTTTTCATTTTGACTGTCTTTCAGATTATTAATCTTATTCCATTAAATGAGCTTTACCCATTTATATCAGCGTTTACTCACTATATAGTTACTTGTTTCTGGCCATCTGAACTACTGTCACAGTCAATGTTGTAGAATTTTCTTTAATATAAGGCATATATTTACAATATTTTATTCAGTCCACTAAGTTTACGTAAACTCTTGTTAGACTATACTACTGTGTCTTCAACGTAACTTCCAATTCTTTGGAAGCTACTTCACTTTGAGGTGATCAGTTAAAACACCAATATGTAATTCTTTAATAAAAGATTTTATTATATTTGGAAACATTTTTGCGTGTATAAGGTGACTCGCCTGATGATATGTTTGAGAATGTCAGTATCTATCATTATTTCTATTTACCAATTGTAAGTCACTTAATTTGAAGATTATCATGAAATCAAATGGTTCACTGTTTTTCAACATTTCGAGCATAGTTGGATGCTTTATCCATAGAGTAAGAAAATCCAACTATTTCGTGAGATTGATTTTAATTGTTAGATATTTAAACACAATAAACATCAGAAAGTGCTTATATTTGTTTGGAAACAGATATTCGTACTTGCGCAACCCTTACTGCACTAGGAGGCGTTACTTCTGTGATGTTAAGCCAACTACCAGTTTTAGAATTGTTGGTGTCTTCAGCTAGCTAACGTCGAACAAAATGAAAATAATTGTTTAGGTCAGATAGTGGTTGGTGGCAGTCAACAAGAAACCATGGATATAGGTTTCGTGCTACATGGCACTCGTCAGCAAGGTGTACTTGTAATCTTGAGGGAACTGATGCTCCCTTACGGATTTGATCTCGTGTTTAAAGTAGATCAACATTAGAGAAAATTGAATGTGATAATGATTGTTAATTAGTGATTGTATTGTGAAAATTTCACCTTTCAGGCATTAAAAGCCAACCAAATCATGTTTACTTGTTGAACACATTGAATTATTATTCACAAGCATTTGTATCATTGTGCATTTAATAATCAGAGATCAGTTACATTCGATTTTCGTTCACATGTTTATCCTGATTATTTTCATAAATGTTTTATGTCATATAATATCATTAACACTGGGATCCAGGTACACCCAGTTGACAATTCGCAAATAAAAACCCAACTCATTTTCTAAGTTACACTACTAACTGTAATCCAACTATACTACTTTTCAGTAACAAATCAATAATGTTAAAACTTAGAATATAAAGAATATGAATCAATATATACACCTTAACCAGATTGAATAATAAAATCATTATAGAGAAAACACCATATGATTCGTTTGACATATATACTTAGCTATTACTTAATTAAATGTTTCATTCATATGATTGAAATTGTACCTTATTGTAAGACAAATTTAATTGTATAGTATTCTCAAATAATTTACTACTTTTTGTTTCATTTTATACAAGATCGTAATAGTAAAATTGGTTATGATTATTTAAATACTAAGAATAAGATCATTTCCCACAATAGGACGAAACGATCGTTCAGTGCTTCCAAATTTTCCATGATAGTCTAGCTTCAATTAACTTATGATTTGAACAATCTTTAATAAATATCCAAATTACTGGTCTATAGGAAAGCTTTCAAATATTAATGTGTTTTTTATGGTTAATAACCTCTTTCATTGAGTACAGAATATACTCCTTGATAAGATCACCTATTATTATGTTTATTAATAAACATAGTAAAAATGCATAAGCAAGTGTCTACCAGGACTCAGTAGCTAAGTGAATAACGTGATAGCGTTTGAAGTGAACGGTACTGAGTTCGAGTCCCAGAGTGAACATCAACTCTAAGATACAGCAATATCCAGCTGACTAGCCCCAAGTAGGACGAAAGGACCATCCTGGATTCCAATGCTAGGCACTATCCATCTTTGTTTAGAATATCTGTGAATTAAGGTAATATCGAGGCAATACGCATAGGATGCACATATACCAATAAGAGAATGATCAATTACAGTCCTAAACATCAATAGGGAAGATTCAAGTAAACAATATCAAATGAATTCTTATTAAAAATAGTTCATTAACATAGTATTTATGCTCATCATAGCCTTGCCCAGATTTATTATTTTTGTCAAAAAGTCACCTATAACAGGTAGCAGCAACGGATAATAATAATAATAGTGGCTTTCACTGGGTTTATTTTTTTCTACACAAAGTACAATTTCACTATAATGTTATATTTTTATATTATTTCCTACTAAGAATTTGTGTTGCGTTCACTTTATTCGATGAGAATAATGATGGACAACTAAGTTATCGTGAATTTGTTGGTATGATGCGACATAGACTCTTACGCGGTTTGGATAAACCTATGAATACAGGTTTTATTCGATTACTTAGTGCTGTATTTCATTGTACTAAAGCACAAATCAATCTTGGAATTAGTTCTACTTATAAAGGTGTTTGAAAAGTTGACTAGTTACTAAGATTTTGTATACTAGTAATATATCAAATAGTAATATTATTACATTTAGAGGTGTGTTTGTATTTTTTTTCTACATTTTTGATGGTAGGGAACTGTCAATTGATATTAGCCTCTTTTGACATATTGAGAAATTTCATACATACATAGTTCCTTTTATTATTTTGGAGCGAGTAAAATCAAATATTAGTACAATATAACATAAAGTCATGTTATTTTGTTAAATTCTCATTAGCTGTTTACAACCCCTAATATTTTACAATCAATATCATGACAGATATTGACATACTTATAATTAATACGAGGGTGAATAAAGATGAATGTGTGCATCATGATGTAGCGAAGATTTCCATAGAGTTAATAGGGTCATAAAACATTTTTGTTTCAGACAACAAAAATAAATAAACTCTGAGAGTGAGAATTCCAGAACACTGAATTAGTGTTTACAAATCATAGAGTTAACGTACATTAGATGATTGTGTAATAAAGTGACTGAAAACAGATTAATGGTAATAAACAAAGATATGAATTGATATAAGTCTATCCCAATGGAAATTATGAATGAAAGAAAGAATTGAAATAATCAATAATGCAATAATAAGGATGTAATGTTACCAAGACAAAGAGAGATTTATTAAAATTTCTTTTTCGATACATAGATCAAGTTTTAGAAGTTGGATAGCAATCGCTTCGACAAATTTAAGAAGGTTGAAATTTTATTGTTAGTTAATCACCTTGAAAGAAATCAGTGAATCTATTTGATGTCCTGTATCAAAGAGACATGTCAAAATGGCATACTTTTATCCTGAATAGATTCGCCCAATATTGTTATTAGGCGACAAGCGTTATAAGAGAGGTTGGACAGTGGCTTGTCTTTAAATCTAGGGTGTGTATTTCATCCTATTTAGGACTCGTCAGCAGAATCTGTTTACTACAGAGCTCAGTAGTTCAATAGATAATGAGTAGTATGTTTGAGAATTAAAGTACTTGTTTCTTGTTCCTATATGAACATAAACGGTGGACGCAGATATATTCAAATGACTCGTCCACAATAAGACGAAACGCACTCACAGAATTCCTCATCTAACAACAAGCTTTGTGAAAAATTTAGAAATTTTCTGATACATTTCATACTACTTTAATTAATGATAGTAGGTAGAAAAAAATATGAATATAACCGAATAACACTGACATTTTCACTTATTTAAATAAAACCTTAATTGAATTAAAATTCAGTTTACTTGTGAGAAAAAAGTCGAATAATTCAGTATCAAAAATGTATTTCAATTTAATTTCAAGACGTCGAAGTAGAATCATTTATTGTATAACTTGGATGGAGAGAAAATGAGGAAATGTTGGATATGTTATATGGTTTTCTGATAGATCACATCAGTATTATCTATTTTATCCTTTGTCATGGTCATCACAGAATGAAGTTGTATTCACATCTAACACATTTCAACAAAAATTTTATTTTCTATATGATGTAATTCTTTTAATTTTTTTTATTATTATTTCACTTTCAGGACTTCCACAAAATAAAGAGCTGCCATTGTCTGATTCAACAGAAGAAGGGACAGTACATCAAGAAAATGTAATTTCCTCATTTTTAGAACTATTATGTCGTTTGTTTTAATTTGAATTAATAAATACTAAGCGTTAATATGTGCGCTTTTCTTTAAGATATACACACTTTTTACACATATGAAAAGCTCCTTGTTTATCGATTGATGAAACACTTGTATATTTCTCATAAGTTGGATTAATTGTTTCAGAATTATTTCTAAACTGTCAAGTGTTTCTTGATATAACTCAAAGGTTGAATGGAAGTGTTCTCTGCAAAACAGATACGATTATGATAAGTGTTATTAGTATTCTTTTAATGTCAATAACAAAGGAATATGAAGAAAACAGTAAACAAATATCGTTTTACCGCATAAACTAATTCATTTACGAATTATTAAACTGTTATCGCACCAGTTTACTCAGATCTACAGAGACCAGTTTCTTTAAACACTAAACTTTAAATAGAACGTTCTCGGTTAACCATTTAAAAAAAGTTGAATCAGCTTATAGATTGGTAAATATGCAACTTCACTGGTTGAAATCATGGGTCACTTGAAGCTAGATCATCATGGAAAACATGGAAGCACTGGATGGCTGTTTCGTCCTAACATGGGACTCCTCAGGAGTGCGCATCCACGATCCCCCATCCCGTGAGATTCGAACCCAGTACCTACCAGTTTCGCGCCAGGCACTTAACCAACTAGACCACTGAGCCGGCATCTAACGGTGTTAATATCCAACTTCAACCAATCCACGAAATTGCGCCACCGTACACCATTGTCTTCAGTGAGTTGATATCTCACAACAGACCTGGTTAAACTCCACTGGTAACGGCTTCTCACTACAACCCTAGGAGTATATTTTGAAGTTATTCACTTCCAAGTTTTCTATGGTGGTCTAGCTTCAATTGACTCATGACTTCAACCAGTGAAATTTCTAAAATCTCCACAAAACCCATTCTGAAAATATGCAACTATAAAAAATAATACGTATTTTTTATTTAACAAGTGACTATAGTAACATTTCTATTTCATTAACTTTGTATCAAACTTTTATTTATAAACTTTTATTTAAGTTTCATATTCGCATGATCAAGAAAACATCAAGAATATCTGCATGAACTCACCTAGTCACTTGATAAACTTCAACAATATTGATCTTTTTCGTGATCTTAAAAGAACCAATTGGTCATTTCAATACGTCCAAAGAGAATAAATGTAGAACAGGGTCAAATATTTTTAAATTAGATTACTATGAACACTTTTCACAATGTTCATAAAGATATTAATATGCATTAATTTGCATTCTATTTCAGGAAATCTATGATAGTTCTTCAAATTTAAGTGATTATCATGATGATAAAAATGAAGAATTATTCAAACAAAAACAACGAATTAGTAATTTACGAGAAATTCAAGGTAATAAAAGTGTTACAGAAGGTGTTGGTCAAAAAACAAGTCGATTTGGTGTTGGAGCTCAAGGTGCATTCCGTGTTGCTTGGTCAGAAATGCCTGAAGTAAAACCATATATGATTAATAATCGATTCATATTATATAAAACTGTTTATATATATATATATATATATATATATATATATATATATATATATATATATAATTTTGTTTAGGGGATGATGTATGAACAGTATATCTAAGATCATTTTCAGTTCCATTACAGAATATTCATAATAATCTACAACTGAAGAAAAGTAAACGGAAACAGAGGGCACAGAATAAAAATATAATAGGTCTATTGTTATACATGTGTTAGGTTGTTTTATGGTCTACTGTTTGGGTAAACTATTACTAAAATTAGGTATGTTTACCAGGTGCGATGTAACTGTAAAGCATTTGCATGAAGAGAAGTTTAATGAGTAGACTCAGTAATAACAATGATTAAACATCTAGTGTTCCTATAATTTTAGTAATAGAATGAAATATATTTCAAGGTGCAAACAACTTTAAGACGTTCTTCGAGGAGAAGTGAACAATAAACAAAAGATGAAAGTCATTTTATATCAAGGACATATTGTCGCATAGTATTGCAATGTCTTATAATAACTTACTAGTAAAATAATTCATATAAAGAAAATATTTAGAATTAGATTGTTACAGTTAAAAATGTTATAACTCGGTATTACTGCATATTGGAACGCTTTAGTACGGAGGAGGGGGGGTGAAAGATAGTTTAGTAAGTATTTACTATGGATATGAACATTAAGTCAATTGAGTTGATAAAAATGCTTCATAACTTAGATTTCAGATATTAACTATTAATGATAATCATTTAAAATCCATATCATTGCAAATTTAGTAACAACAACAAACCCAAAAATGGGTTATTATATATAGGCCTAGGCCTTTCGCAATACTTCCAAGTTATTACAACATCAGAATTGATCTTTCAAGACTCTGTAATTTTCTACGAAATAGAAATCAAATCCAGTTGAAATAAATGATCTGGATATTTTGCGATCAAATATAATTTGATTACATAATGAGTACTTATTTCAGATCAACTGATATACTATGCAAGTAACTGATTAGTCTCATTAGTTTCTTATAGTTTTGAAAGAGAAAAATACATTTAGAAACATTTATGCTTTGAAACGAATGATTGTTGTAAGAGATAAGGCAACTAACTAATGTATTTTCGAATGAAAGCTTTTAAAATTTTAGGTAGTATATTTTGCCTAACTCAGTTACCGAAATTTCTAAGGGGTGTATACAATCGACATCTGTTATATAATCCTAGTATTTTTATTATTACTAATTTTACTATATTTCAATTAACAATATCCAAATCAAGCGATAATTAGATATAAAAACAATAAAGAATATTTAAATGATTTCATTATATCATCAGGGGTTTTGTGGAGATTGTAGTAATTTCAATAGTTGAGATCATGAGTCAATTGAAGCTAGACCACCATGCAAAACCTGGAAGCACTGGACGACCGTTTCGTCCTATTGTGGGACTCCTCAGTAGTGCGCATCCACGATTCTGCCTAACTAGATTCCAACCCTGGACCTATCAGTCTCGCTCACGAACGCTTAACCTCTAGACCACTGAGCCGGCCGGTATCCAACGGTGTTAATGTGTAGCTTCAACTAATCCACGAAATTGAGCGACACATCCACCATTGTCATCAGTGAGTTACTATCTCACAACTGACTCGGTTGAACTCCACTAGTCACTGCTTCTCACTAGAACTCCAAGATTTATCACTTATATAAAATTTATCGATCAAGACAACTTATATATGATCAATCATCATAGTATTTATCAGTTAAACTGTAGTTAATTCCATGGCAACTAAAATATCTTATTATAAGATATTAGTAATAAAATCAATACTGGACATTTTTAAAGGACATCTTTATTTTTAAAATTTCTTTGACAAATACAGTCATTTCCCTTCATTTCAATACTTCATTGAAATGATAAGAATGAAGTCTATAGACATACACATGTCAACCTAGATTACTTATACTTGAAACAATCTAATACATTGAAATTCGGTTAAATACATCATTTATTTCTTATGAAAATACTGTTATTTCAATCATTTACAGGTTAAATCTCAACATTATAGGTAAAATGAAATAAACTTATTTTCCATCATTAAGTATTATATTACAAGTTCTTAAACTTCAATCACTAATTTTACAAATCTCATACCAATCGTTTTTTAAACAAAGGTGGATAGTGACTAGTAGTGGAATCTAGAACGCATGTCAGCAGAGAGACAAGAGGATCGAACAGTAAAGAATGGAGAAAAAATGCAATTTGTATGTAAATACAAGAACAACGAAGTCTGAGTTATTATGAGACAATTGATGGACATTTTATGAACAAATCCTGTAATCTTGTGTCAAATATAATTTGAATGTCCCCAATGGTGTTCTTGTTCACTACACCTGTATCCCAGAGTTGATGTTTAATCAGGGACTCGAACTAGATTTCAATGCTAGCCAATATCCATCTTTGCTTAAAACGTTTGTGACTTAAGGTTATATCAATGAAATCTGCACAGGATACACATATACCAACAAGAGACTGATCAATTGCAGTCCTAAATAACAATGGGAAGATAGAAGTAAAACAAACACCACGTGAATTTATACCAATCGTTTATTGATTTTCTTGTTGTTGAATATTCTTTGGTCATGTAAATGTTGAACAAAAGACGTAACAATCTACTTTGAATACTATGACATCTATGAAAAAAAACAATTAGAAGTTTAATAAAAACTATGTGGTTAGCTAAAATAACATATAAATATACAATACCGTTGAAGTTGTAATGGTAAATTGATAACAGACAGTGTTTTACTAAGAGATTTATAAGGATAAATTAATAAGTGTTAACAACGGATATTTTCTCAGCTTCTTTATTTAAATGTGATAGATTACTAAATATATATTTATTATTGTTTCACTACAGGTTGTAGAAAGTAACTGTCTTCAACGCTTAACAAGACATGAAATCCAATTACAAGAAGTAAGTTAATGATTTTTTTCATTCCAAATTATTTTACATATAGTTTTCATTACGGGCTGATATAAACTGGATTATCAGTATAGGGCTGTCAAGATCATTAAGTTTTTGATTGAGATGATGAACCGACTGGTGTTAAACTACCACCGTGTTGGATAGAGAAAGGTATCTACCTCAGTACAATTGAAGATGGTCGCGCGATTTCGTGGATTAGTTGAAGTTAGAAATTAACACTGTTGGATGTACACTTAGTGATCTAGAGGTTAAGCGTTCGCGCGCGAGAGTGAATGTTCTGAGTTCGAACCTTGTGAAGGGGATCGTGGAGTCCGACAATAGGACGAACCGGCTGTCCAATATTTCCGGGTTTTTAATGGTAGAATAGCATCAGTCGGTTCATGATCTCAATAAAAAATTGGGAACTGTAGAGCTACAGACAGTTGTCCGTCTCTGTATGGAATTTTCCAGTAATATACATACATAGAAATATACACATTATTGAAACTATAAACCCTCAGCCTATCATTTGGATTGTTAAGTTGTAATTTAATAGTTCTCATTTTTACATGTATTTGTGATAAAGAGCATCGAGTATCTAAAATACTATTGATTTCGGTTATTTGATATTTACAATTGATGGATAAGCTATCGCGATCTCGACTGTCTAACGTCATTGGGAAATTATCTCTTGTTCTAAAATCTACCGCTACAGATTATCTATTTGTCCAGATATTAGAAAATGTATTTTCGGATTTGTTTCTATCTATAATACTAGACATACATTTTCTTAATTAGTAGTTAAAAAGAACTACATAATTTATTTTTAAAATCCATTTTTTTCCATTATGCTTAAGTACAAAATTTACCATTCATAAAATCAAATATATTCATATAATCAAAGATGGATAGTGGCTAGCAGTGGAATCCAGGATGCCCATTTCATCCCCTCTCAGACTCGTCAGCTGGGTGTATCTGCATCTCACAGTTGATGTTCACTCTGGGACTCCAAATCAGTAACATTTGCTTCAAACACCTTCGCGTTATCCACTTAGCTACTGAGTCCTGATATCCACTTGCTTGTGCAATGGGTTGAATTTCGATTCACTTGGTATTATTTGGCTTGTATCTTCCCATTGATTCTTAGGACTGAAATTGATGTGCCTCTTGTCGGCATATGTGCATCCTTTGTGGATTACTCCAATATTGCCTTGGGTCATAAGCTTCATAAGCAAAGATGCAAGATACAAGTAAACAACACCAAGTGAATTTAGAAATATTCATATAATGTTTATGAATTATAGAACTTAATTATTGAACTGAAGCCAGTATGTTTATGATCAATAAACATTCATTACAATGCCAGTTTTTTCATATATTTCAGGCCATGTTTGAAGTGATTACCTCAGAAGCTTCATATTATCAAAGCCTAAATGTCTTAGTAAATCATTTCTATCATGCTCCTGAATTCGAATGCGAACCACTACATTCACCAGTTCAAGGAAATCAAGTAAATAACAAAACAGGGAAAGATTACTATTCACCATTAAATTATACTACAGGACAACAAGATGTAATAAATACAAATGATCAAGTATTAAGTGAGCCTAGTACACCATCAGTTAATATAACACCGATCGGTCCAACCACCGCTTATTCTACTAATACTATCCCAAACAATAATGCTGACTTTACAGAATTTTGTTCAGATTTAAACAGTGCGAATAATCAGACTACAACACGCCGTCCTTTACTGAAGCCATTAGAAAAACATCATCTCTTTTCAAATGTACTACTTGTATGTTTAGCAAGTGAAATGTAAGTATTTATTAAATATATAGTTCATTTTTAACATAAAAAAGTATATGAGATAATATCGTCTTTATACTTATTCAAATAGCTTTATTGTGTACAGAATTCTATAACATTAGTCTACTGACTATATAATTTTAATCGCGTTATTACACACATATTTTTGAACATAGTTCTTTATTGATCACCCGCTGTTTCAAGCACATTCTAAGAATATGGTTCATTAAGATACAGTATTAGTAAACAAGTCAGATATGGACTACTTTTGTAACTTTATTTGCATAAATCATATAGCTTTTTGTGAAATATGCTGTCAAGTGTTGTCACTGTTTGGCTAATATTATTTACAAACAATCCAGATGTTTACGCATACTGTTAAATTTCTATCAACATGTTTCAGTTGTTCAAACAATTTGTCGATCAGTATACAAGGATACTAATCTTTTCATTATGACATCAACAATTTAAGATACTATTCCTATCTATCTATCTATCTATCTATCTATCTATCTATCTATCTATCTATCTATCTATCTATCTATCTATCTATCTATCTATCTATCTATCTATCTATCTATCTATCTATCTATCTATCTATCTATCTATCTATCTATCTATCTATCTATCTATCTATCTATCTATCTATCTATCTATCTATCTATCTATCTATCTATCTATCTATCTATCTATCTATCTATCTATCTATCTATCTATCTATCTATCTATCTATCTATCTATCTATCTATCTATCTATCTATCTATCTATCTATCTATCTATCTATCTATCTATCTATCTATCTATCTATCTATCTATCTATCTATCTATCTATCTATCTATCTATCTATCTATCTATCTATCTATCTATCTATCTATCTATCTATCTATCTATCTATCTATCTATCTATCTATCTATCTATCTATCTATCTATCTATCTATCTATCTATCTATCTATCTATCTATCTATCTATCTATCTATCTATCTATCTATCTATCTATCTATCTATCTATCTATCTATCTATCTATCTATCTATCTATCTATCTATCTATCTATCTATCTATCTATCTATCTATCTATCTATCTATCTATCTATCTATCTATCTATCTATCTATCTATCTATCTATCTATCTATCTATCTATCTATCTATCTATCTATCTATCTATCTATCTATCTATCTATCTATCTATCTATCTATCTATCTATCTATCCATAAAACTATTCACGATTCATTGTATTATTAGTTGTTTCAACCTATTGAATAGTTACATCATCAAAGAAAAAGACTTTCGATAATGAATAATCAATACATTTTGAACGTGTTACATAGGCCGGAACACCGTTTATTACGACGCGCAATACTGACTAGTGTTGAAGATAGTTGGAAGAAAGTTAGGGACAGCCAAACCAAAACTTGCCATCAGTCCTTCAAGTCACTAACTTCTAGTCTTAGCCATGTTGGTAGATGCAGACTATTTGGTTGGGGTCCGTGTGACTATCGTAACCAATGATAGGAGACGGTGGGTGACATGTCTCACAACTGATACCAATGGCGTAGGTGTATACACTCTGTCTTCCCTTAAACCGTGAGATTAAAATTGCTTGATACCTTTCTTTCTACAAACTATATATATATACCATTGAAGTGACTACTTCTATGAATTTGGTGTTCATTTTGTTGTGCTAATGAGGTATGGCAACTTGAGCTGATGCATATATGTGCCTGGTCCTACGTTGTAGCTAACTGATTGACAATTTTTCAGATTATTTTTGAAAATATCCCCTTCAAATCTTTTTAATTCTGTGTTCAAGTTTAATTTTTAAAAAATACCAATCCTTAATTAGAGTGAGCGTATTATTTTGTAATCATACACTTTAATGACTCCTAATTCATTGATAAACTGACATACAAATTACTTCCCGAATAAAAGTTTCTTCATCCAATAAATATAGATTCTGTTACATAAATTGTTGTTAGAAAACACTAGTTTTGACAAGTTCTATCATCTACTTTCAATCTGTATTATTTTGAACATTATTAGTGATATGATTTACTAAACTGGTTTGTAAACACTGTTGTCATTACAAAAAGAGGTTTTATCTAGAAAATCCTTGAACATTAGGCAGTACTAAACAGAATTCCTATTTCATTATGTAAATCCAATAGTATTCACAAAACAACTAGGTTACATCTCATTCCGCGTCATAGGTAGTCATCATTGGAAAATTTCAAGCTAAAAATAATTGACAACTTAACACTGGCTAGTTTTAATTGAACTACTTAACAGTATTGATTTGTGATGAGAAAAATTTATCCAGAATAAATTATTATAGTCATTATAGGAGAAATACACCTCAACAGTTATAAATTGATTATTATACTACTTGTAAACCCTTTACTATTTGCTTGAAATTGATGAACTCAATAAACTGAAGAGAGAGAAAGAAAGATAACTTGGATGAGTTTAAATAAAATTTTGTTCTTATCAATTTACGCTTTTAACATTGATTAGTAAACTATCATCCATGTATACCATGAAGAAAAATACATTTTCAATGCATATTTAAATTATTAGGTTTTTACGAGATCTTGAAGCAAGATGGGAATCTCGAATGCCAATATTGAATGAAGTATGTGATTTAATAGTGAAACATGCTGGTGGTGTAAATTTTGAACCATATATTACTTATTTAAGAAATCAAACATATCAAATGGCAACGCTTCGAAATCTATGGTAAATTATGATTGTTGTTGTGTTTTTTTGATTGAAATTTCTGAGCATTATGTTTAAGAGCATGTGGCGAAACTCTAATTTATGGACGAGCCGATCAGAAACGTTTTAGAGATTTCAAGGTTACGGAGCCAGCTTCAGTGCTTAATGCTGACGTACGATCGGTTCACAGGGAATTTTGTACAAAACGTGATAATTGAGCGGCTATAACAAATAAGACAGCGAGACTATAATTTCTGGACGAATCAACCAGGTATAAGATAATAGATCTCGGATTTTAACGTGAAATCCCTTCATCCATGTGGTTAAATAAATTTCTGGTATTATAGCTGATGTCAGTTCGTGATGAAAACCCTATATATAATTCCTAACTAAGGTAAATTACGACAATTATTGCGAACTGGATAATAAAAGCACCAGTAACACTGGCTGCAGCCAGGTACTACAATATATATACGGATGTTTGGAGAGCGTACAAAGTCCTACATAGCCTTGGTTATATGCATCTTGTCTATATCCAAAAGTAGCACTTTGTGCACTCAACAACCAGAGTGCACATAAAAAATATTGAAGCTATGTGGTCGAGGCTGAAAACGTTTTTGAGACTTTATCATGGCTCCAGAGGTCGACTATTCTTTAGCCGTATGGATGATTTCCTCTACTGTATGCATTACGATTTTAGAACCTCTGAACCTCTTTCTAACCCTGACAAGTTTTTGAGCCACTTATAAGAAGTGTATCCACTTTATTTCCATGGTTTTGCATAATATATTTTTACTCTATACTGATTGTTTGCCGACTGGCTAATATCTCTCAAGGTTACTTAGGGTTCGTTCAAATGTCATCCATAAATTACAGTCTCACCGAATATGTTTATAAAAAGAATAGTTTAGCGTGCATTTTTGGAGAAAATAAACGTTCATAGATATGTCTTTATTCTACGACGAACAGTTAGGTATTTATTAGTGTTTGATTTCAGCAAACGATTTCTTGGCTGAAATGACAAAATGTTTCCATAAATCTGTTCTTACACTAACCATTTTAATTGTAGTGATTTCAAATATAAATTCAATACAGATCTTTAAAACATTGGCTATCTGTAATCTAGTTTTAGCTGTAAAGGCTTTTGAACAATTCAACCTTTTATAATGTGTCTCGTTGCATAATATCTTTGGGATATATGAGAGTGTAAAGAATATGCATTCACCTCCACATTTACAAATTTTGATTTCATCATGTTCCTTTTTTTCAAAAAAGAAAAATACTTCAATTATTAAAGTATCTTCATTTGAATTGCTACCTGAGTTTACCTCTATCATGTGAATCTACATGTTCAACAGCTCTTGTACAGATAGCTTTGTGGGACATACTACCTGGAACCTGAAACAACAAATGTGGGAAATTACCCCATCTCCTTTTAGAAATAGTAAGACAAAGACAAGATACAGCTCTTTCATTGTACACCTGGTTTACAGTAATCATATAGTGGATGAAACCAAATAATTTTTAGCGATCTATTGTTTACCTTTTGTCGTTTGGCATTAGCGTTACATCCTGTCTCCTTCACATAGCAGAGGATATAGGAATCCGAACCTGTAACCTTAGTTTATGCGTCCACTTCCATTAGTTCCTTCGCCAACTAAGACTCAATCAACGGTTTTACTGATTTTCTTATGTCTTATTTATATTCGTCATTCTTCATTATCTGATCATTTACGAAACATTTACAACATAATTTTAAGTGTTTACGTTAAAAGGTATATTTAACTCCCCAAAGACCTCCCAATATTTACATAATTGGAAAATGTACAGTTCAGAAATAAAATTAGTTTCAAGGACCCGAATATAAATTAAGTTACTTATATGCTATTTATGTATGAGATTTGTGAGATTATCCTACTATATAATCACTAGTTAACACTATTTAAATTCAAAAGTAAAATGAAGAAAATATGCTCTGTTATTTTACATATTATATAACTAGAGATGATTAACTTTGGTAGCCCAAGATCTAACTCCATTTGGATCGTTTATGATTACTATTGAGATAGTCATGTCTCCAGTTCTTGTATATCATCATCGACTTAATCCGTGTTAGTGAATAACGGGATTAAATAAGTTAAATACCAGAATGGATTTTTGAATGCGTATATTTTGTACACTTATTGATTTGAATAAAAAATCAGAGGGATAAAGCGAAGAGAAGAGAGCGAAGTGAAATAACGTGCAGTGGAGATGGCGTATGAGCCAACTCAATATTTATAATCAAACGAGAATTAACTAACAGACACGTGATGAGTAAGATAAGGAATGCACACACATACGTTTAAATAAAAACAATCAATGTTGACAAACAAACAATTAAAATGGACAAAATGTAGCTTGAGGAAAATGGATAAGTTGGTTTGTCCAGAAGCTAGAATAAGCTATGTGGGCTTGACAGAGCAACCTA